TTATGGAAAATAATGAACTTTATCACAATATTCTAATTTTATGACCAGCACCTGTACAGTAAACTCTGACCTGAACAGGTTGCTGGTTCTGGGGTCACCTGGGGGTCACCTGGGAGGACTCACCTGGTCTGCCATTTCTCCTGGCTCTCTCCTTTCTCTCGGGGGCAGTAGGAGAACTCCTGGAACTCGTTAGCAAACAGGACGCAGTCATGCCGCGGGTCTTTCAGCAGGTTCCTCAGACGGTTGTAGAACCTGCAGAGGAGCAGAACTCTGCCATGTTTCGGGTTCTTCTAATAAAAAATAACAGATTTTAGCCAAAAAACCTTCCATCAACAAGCTACAGCTCCCCCTGGTGGACCCTGGAAAACGACATTTGGCACATATTTTTTCCTTCCACTCAACTTTCTAGGAAAATATTCTTGGATACCGAACTCAGATTCTATTTGCCGATCAGAGGGAGACATTCTGGGTGAATCTGGGGCCAGAGGAGGTCAAAGGTCACTGCTGCACGCTGTTCTGGACTGAACCTGCAGCTCCCTCACCTAACAGCACATTAATGATGCAACATTTCCCTCCACCAAGTCAGCAGAAACCAGAACCAAACCGCAGTGGAAGTGCGGGTCAGGCAGGATCCCTTATTAACGGCTTCCTGCGGGTCACAGCTGAGTCAGCAGAACCGGGTCTAATGAGGCCGACCCGGCTCGCTCCTGCAGAGTTCTGCAGGGATAGAAAAGGTGATCAAGGAGCAGCGCTGCGCAGAAGGCGAGGCTGCTGAGTCAGCGGGAGTTATGGAGGTTTGGGCTGGTTCTGGTTCTGGTTCGGTTCTCCTACCTGCGGCCCTTGCTGTGCAGAGCTTGACAGGCCGTCTGCGTGAACACGACCCCCTGCAGCTCCACCAGCTCCAGAACCTCCAGGTAGTTCAGCACCACCTCGGCGTCCGGAACCACGTAGTGGGTTAGGTCTCCAGGCAGAACTTTACCATCTGGGTCAGAAAAAAACATCACAGATCTAAAATAAACTGGAGAAAATAATAAAAACTTGATGTGGATCAGAGAAAAGCCCGAAGTTATCGTTGGTTGGTGGTTCTGGACTCCTCTGACAGGCTGCCTGTATGTGAAGCTGCAGGTTCTGTGGTTTGTTTTCAGGGTCAGCAGGAGGTCCGGTTCATGGTTTAATCTTTAAATGGAAGGACGTTTGTTGGATGATCGATGAATGTTGGATGTTGGATGGATGGTTGTTGGATGTTGGATGGATGGATGCCTCTAAATGGATCTAGAACTCTGAAGAAAACTTTCTGACTGATCAATAAACTTACTTATTGATTTCATTCAAACAGGAAATTTGATTTGACATTTTTGTCCGTCTAGTTTTGGTTCCGGTCCGGACTGTGGGTCTTATCCTACGGACCAGACCAGAGATGTCCTACATGCCGTAGTGAACCCGGGCCTCCAGCAGAACCGAGCTCCTGCGGACCTCACCGTTCTCGCAGCCCGCCTGGCACAGCGCGCTGAAGCAGGGGACCCGCTCCCGCAGGTAGTGCTCCCGAACCACCCGAACCTTCCGGCCTCGGCTGCTCTTCAGGTGCAGAACCTTCTCGGTCTTGATCATCCTGAGGACTCCGCTGCGGAGCCGCGGCTCAACCAGGAACTCTCACATGTAAACAAGTCCGAATCTGGCGGACTCCAGGCAGGAAGAGCGTCATGATGTCATGACGGTCTACGCGTTCTGCTGCATTCAAGTGCTGTCGGATTGTCGGTCTTCCGAGTACGAACACTTGATCTCTGGTCTTTAGAAACAAAACATAATTAAAATAATAATTTTAAAAAAGTTAAATATTTGAATATTTTTTTGGAAAAAAAGAAGTATTTTTAATGTTTGCCATATCTTATAAAATGCATGTACCAAAGTAAAATATTTTGATTTTAATAATTGATTCCACTGATCAAATTTGTTGAGAAAATCCATCGCCATGTTGGAAATTTATTTATTTTTCTTCTTCTTCTTTTTTCTTACAGGAACGCTGTTTCCTTGGGTGTGATGTCAAATACATTCCCGAGTTCCGAGGTAACTGGAATGCAGCGTGTTTTCCCAATAAATACAATGTTGCTCATTTAGGGCAACTACTGTTTATGATTGACTAAAGTTACATTAGCTAACTTTTTATGACGTATTCCAGTTGTAGTCAAAACTATTAAATTTCAACTTCCCAGTTAGAAAGAAATCAGCTGGCACGACCCCCGAAGTCAGATTTTGGGAGTAAGTCCGTGTACTACGACCTGTAAGGCCGACTTTGCTTTTCAAAATGGCCGCTCCTGGCATCAACAGCAGAAGACTTGATTGAAATGTTGATTTTACAAGGCACACAAGTAAGAGATCGTCTGAAGTCAATGCTGCGTCTGCAGGTCTAAACTGTTAGTAATATTAGTTTGTGGAAAGTAAAGCTTGAAATTATGTGTAAGAGGCAGAGTATCATATTTATTTACGTCGCCATGTTGTAATCCCGTAATTGTCTGTAGATGGGAAAAAGGTGGCATAAATTTCCGCCAAAAAACAAAACAAAACATAATTTATTGGATTAATCTCATAAATGTTCTGCAAAAAACATGGAAATGTCTGAGTTATAAAAGTTGTACATTTCCTAGAAGAACGGGGGAAAAACAAGGGAAATTTTGATCTTGGTAAAATGAAAATTTGCTAGAAAAAAATTTGAAATTTTTTAGATTAATTTTCTAGAAAGAATTATGGAATTTTCTGAGTTGCAAAAGTCAAGCATATTTGACTTTTGTCAACTTTCGCAGTTTTTTCTGAAAAATGTCTGAGCTTAATCAAAATTTCAGATTTTTTTCTTGCAATTTTTATTTTATTTTTTGAGCTCAGAAATTTTCTTGTTTTTTCTAGAAGATTTCTGAGATTTATCTCAGAAAATATATTTTTTTCTATCTACCGTAATATACCGTCGTAATTATCAGACGCTTTAGCAAAAATAAATAGAAAACCCAGCTTTCCCGAAACTCACTGAACGCAGCATCGGTTCTTTGACGGCAGGGAGTCCTCTTGGCGCCTCTGCTGGTCTTTGGCTGCGTCGCCTGCAGACGCTGCAGTGGGTTGAGGGAAGGGGGAGTGAATCCTCTTGGTCCGCCCGCTGATCTTCGGCTCCGCCGCGCAGAGAAGCTGCGGCGGAGCTCAGAGTCAAGTTGGAAACTGCAGCGATGCTGAGGACTTTGGTGCCGCTTCAGGACCGACTTGTTCTGGGGAAAACCTTCATCTGAGAGGAGCCGCCGCCCGCCGCTGTCAGACCCAACTTTGTTCTGGACCGAACTCGCTGCAGGTAAGCTGGAGAAGCAGAACCAGGAGCTTGTTTTGTTGTTTTAACGCGATTTGGACTCATGTTGGAAGCAAACCGGGACCAGAACCAGCAGAGTGGAGGCACTTTTAACTTAAGCTGATATTTTTTGTTTTATATATATAAATATATACACAGAGCTTTAATCTATTTGTAGTACTTTAATTAATTAATAATCTTGTAGCAGAGAAATTAATGAATAAAACTAAAAGGCGGTTATTAAAAGTTTGACACATTTCCAGTTTATTGAACCTCCTGCAGCGGTTTGCTCTGAGCGCTCCTATCGGTTCGGTCCGGTCCGGTCCGGTCCCAGTCCGCGCTCATGTTCTGGTGTTTTAATCAAGCAGCAGGTCAGGCTGATCGCTGCTGCTGCTGTTTCCATCGATGCCCTGAAGCGGGCTCGGTTCTGCCGCCAGCAGGGGGCGCCGCACAGCAGCACGCAGGTCCACGCCTGCAGGTGATCCCGCCGCCGCTGTGTGCGGGTCTGAAGGCCGCATCCAGTTAGCGGAGTAATTTAAGCTGCGGGCTGAGCGCCACTTAGCGCACTGCAGCCATGTGTCACCGAGACATTTGTCACAAATGTGGCCTTGCAATAAAAGTAATGCAGCTGCTGATGCTTCCTGAGCTCTTACTTTAATTAAATTGTTTTTAAGAGGATGCACTGAAGCGCTGCTGCTGCTGCTGCTGCTGGGTCAACAGATCAGCTTCAAAAATCATCTCAGGGACAAAAGTTTCACTCAACCTGCTTCTGGAGGAATCTGGACCTTTAATTCACTGCGTGATTCCTAGTTGGCTTTAAATTACTATAACAAGTAAATAAGGAAGTTATGAAGAATTATTTCTGTCAAAAATTTTAAATTAATCTAAATGAAAAAAATTCTAGAAAAAAAAAAACCTTGGAAATGAGTTTCAAAATCTGAACATTTTTCCACTTTGTAAGCTTGTTTTTTCTTTTTTTTTTCTCTCTCAAATATTTTTAGATTAATCTAAATTTTTCTTAGGTTTTTCCTGCATGTTATTTTACTTTTGGAGGTCAGAAATTACCTTGTTCAGATTAACCTAAAAATGTAAGTATTTTCAAACTCAGAAATTTCCGGGGGAGTTTTCTAGAAAACTTCTGAGATTAATCTCAAAGTTTCAGAGTTTTTTGACAGAATTTTATTAATTTTTTCTGTCCATATTTTGCCATAGCGTGCCGTTGTAAGAGGCTCCTCTGATTGGTTTGTTGAGATTTGATCTGAATTATCTCTCTCTGGTTTAAACTGTTTACATGTTTCTGTTCCTCTCTGTGGTTCCAGTCAATAATCGCTTCAACCACCAGCCTGAACTTTGATGCTCTTTTTCTGAATTTGAGGAAAAATCAGATACAATTCAGTGTAAATTCAGATTTGATGCTAATATGCACCTCTAGGCATTTAAGGAACGAAGCAAACTTTTCAGCCTTGCTGTTATTCTGCTGATGCTGTTTTTTGTCAAACTGTAAAACTGAGTTAAAATACAAACACTTGCTTATATTTGTGCCACAATCTGTTTATTCCTTCATGTTGTGCCACATATTTATTGTTTTGTAGCTGAAAATGAATCGGATCGAGTCAGAGTCAGAACCGGCAGGTAGAGTGGTGAATGGTGCGGTTCCTCTGATCTGGTTTGAGCTGCAGACTCTGCCTGACTGCAGCCAGACGTACAACGTTTAGGCAGGAAGGAGAAACGTCTGCTCGCGTTTGAAGTGAAGAAGAAGAAGAAATGATCGATTAAAGGAAGCCGAGGTGTTCTCTGATGTTTTCCAGAATCTCACCTGAATTGAACCAGGAGTTTGCCGCTGCCCCTCGTTAGCAGCTAGGGCTCACTTTCATCTCCGATCATCAGAACTGTGGCCCGGTTGGTTCTGGGTCGCAGTCTGACAGTCGCACTGTGAGCCCCTGGTTCCTGTCTGCTGGACCTTTTCAAACTGGGAATCCTCCGGATCAATACGTGTGATCAGCTGATCAATCAGGGAATGTTTACCAACCAACAAACCGACCCGTGAAAACAACCAGAACCAGAACAAACCGGACTCACCTGCGACCCAGCAACATCTAAACCAAAATCCTGCTGCCATTTTGATTTTAGAGAGAAAATACTGACCTGATGAAATCAATGGAAATCCTATGGAGAACTGACCCTGCCAAAACTGGCAATATTTGTCACGTTATTTACTTTATTAGGAAATTTTTTCTTCATTTATCGCCAGTTTTGGCAGGATCAGTCTTCCATAAGAAGCAGATGGAAAATATAGAAATAAGTATATGGCTTGTTAAAGTAAATGATTCATCTGAAAAATGCTTATTTTTGTCATTTTCAGTGATATTTAACTTTATTACTAATATTTAATTTTACATTATATTTCCTTGTTTATTTCTCATTTATTTGTTGTCATTTTTCATATTCCCTATTTATTTCATGATTTTTTTTAAATTTACTTTCATTTGCTCTGTTTTCTGAGATCGACTGCAAACATAAAAAAATACAAAATTAATACAGGATAGAAAATAAATACTGAAATAAAATGTAGTGGGAAATCAAAAACTATATATTAAATACAGAATATGAAGAGATAAAAGGACAATAATTTACAAAACACTTAGATTAGGAATAAAAATGAAAAATAAGTAATATATTAGTTATATTAATATGAATTTGTCACAAAGAATAATAAAATAAATTGGGAAAGTTTTTATTTTTGGGATGCAACATTGTTCTCAAGAATTACTTTTATACACTTATTGATAGTTTTGACAGGGTCAGTCCTCCGTATAAAGCAGGAAGGAAACGGAAAAATTTAGGAAGAATCCATAAAAAAACATATTGATGGAACAGCAAAAAAAGGATAAAAAATCACCTGAATAAAAGAAATCAAAGCAAACTGACACACAGAAGAGAAGCAGGAGAAAACCTGAACGAATAAAACCAGGAAGAGAAACGTGATTATTAAAGAAGTTACGTCGTTATGGAATCAGAACAATCTATGTTTCCTCTTTGGTTTGATGTTAATATCAGACCAAAGTTTTCTGCTGAACTTCATTAAACGTGTTTGTCTCCTTTTGACCGCAGCTGATTAAGATGCAGGAAATGAAGTGAAAGCAGAAGTGGTTTGTGTTTGATGAATTATGGAGCGACTTCAGTCAGGACGGCGTTTTCTCAGGACGAAGCAGCAACAAAGCAGCGGCCGTGAGAGTCGGTGGAGAAGCATTAAGGCCAGCAGCCGGCGGCTCCCGCCATCGCATTCAGGCTGCGACAAAGAAGAAAGAGACAAGAAAAGCAGCATGAAAGAGCTTTAAGTGCTTCTGCTGGGAGGGGCGAGAGAGAGTGGACCGTTATAAAACCTCCTGAGTTTATCCCTGCAGGCCATGAGGGACAGAAACAGGCGGGGGAGGGGTCGCGTCGAGGTTGTTTGGACTGATGGGGTCAATAAAGGAGGAAAAGATTCGGGAATTCCCTCCCATCCCGTTCATGTCTCTAAATCCAATATTTATATAATTTTTAAACCATCAACATCCGATATTTAAACCGTTGATTCACAATATTTAACCCTTTGAGTTTCAGATCTCCACCTGGATATTTTAATTATATGAAGTTCTTTAAATGTCTTGTGAGTAAATATATGTTTGCCCATTTATCCATAACAACCAGAATTTTCAAGATTAATTTCACTTCCTGCTGCGGCGGGAGTTAAATTACCGTAATAACCCGATATCGGCTGGAAAGCTTTCAGAAACCTCTGGGATTTTTCACACGGCGCAAAGTGTCATCGAATTATGGTGCAGCAGATTCGGTTCCATCGTCATCCACACATTCAGCCTAGAAGGTTAAACCACCAAAATCTGATATTTAATCTGCTGATTGCTGATATTTAAATCCCTCTTTCCCGATATTTAAATGGCTGATTGGCGACGTTTTAAACGGTTGATTCTTGATATTTATCTGATGTTTCAGGGCGATTTTCATCCTGATGTAGCGTCTGAGTTTGTCAGGCTCCTTTCTGGGTTTTCTTGCAGGTTTTATCTGATATTTGCCGCCTAAGGAGGAACCGAGTCGCCTGGTTCTGATTAATGAGTTCGGCTCGCCGCTCACAGTCCAGTTCATGATCCCTGGTTCCTCTGCCAGCATCAGTTCATGAAGTTTTTCCACCATCGTTAATAACTCGGGGTCTGTGAGCGTGCAGCAGGCGGAGCTGTGTGTGTGTGTGCGTGTAAAACGCAGTATTAACGTTGAAACTTGTTAGGTTGAAAGGTTGAAGATTTTTAATGATGTCGATCTGATGACTTCTGCTATGATTTTCCTCTAAATATCATAGAAATGTTTATAAAATGAAGTTTATTTAATTTTCATTGATGGCTATGATGTTTATTATGATCATAAACAGGGGAACTGGTTTAAAGTCGGACCAGTAGAAACTTGGATGTGACCCAACATCAAAGGTCAGAGCAGGAAAGACTAAAATGAGCTACAAAAACCTAAAAAAGCTCCACCAAAGCAACTTAAGGAACGTTTGAGCTGAATAAAACCTCCACAGTGAGAGTTTAAGATGAAAATCTGCAGAATCATTTCCTCCTGTTTGATCAAAGATGGCCGACGTTGCTCAGGTTCTGCCGGACCCAGAGCTTCGTCCAGCTCCTGCTGCGGTCATTGAAACTTCTCAGTTCTGAGACTTGGATTAGACGGCGTCCAGAGGAGCGCCGAGTGATGAAGAGCCTCCTCTTCCTCTTTTCCGGCAGGCAGCGGCTCCTTTGTGTTGCCTAGCAACCAGCTGGTGCTCCACAAACAAACGGGGATCCAAAGCGGAGGCCATATTTACTCCATCACTCTGGGATTCACATGTGGGTCATTTTTCTAAATGCTAAAAACTTTTTGACAAATTTTACATCCAGTGAAGAAAACTGGAAATGCATTTTGCTCAATATTTGCAGAAAATGGCTTCTAACTCTGAGTTATAATCTAAGTAAACA